CAACTGTGGTTGTCCTTGCTGGAGGAGGGCCCTGCTGGAGGGCCCTGCTGGGAAGAGGTGCTAGGTGTCTAGTGGTTGGAAGCCAAAGGTGCTGCGAAGCCTCCCATAGGGCATGGGATGGCCTCACACCAGAAGTGAACTGTCCCAAAAGGTGGTCATGGTGAGGCAGAGAAACCTGATCTTATGGGTCGGATGCATACTGCCTCTCAGATCAGGTGCCATGCCATCCAGACCTTCGGAAGTGTTCCACTGAATAAAGGGATTAGCTCAGGGTAGTTAACATCCGTTGTCTAGCAAACCTATCATTGAGAGTACTCTCAGCTGAAAAAGTATTCTGTATGTAAGTTCACCTGCCCTTGTAGTGCAACTGCTTGATTGAAAAGTTTCCTCTTGTTACAAATGCCAAATTTTTGTTTATACTTGGCAGTGTCACTGTAAATCCTGTTTCTCTCTCTTCCTTTGCTGAGTAAAGAGGATAAAGTAAGACCCCTGTAGGCTTTAGCCTGGAGATTCTCCTATGCTGTTACTTGTTTTGAAAATAGGAATTGGGAGATAATCGTGGGAACTCATGGTCTTTCTCCCTTCACAGTTATTTCTAAAACATAGCTCTTACTTGCAATGAACTTATTAAGAGATGCTTGTTGAATAGCCGGCTGTGTTATAGGCTTCCCAAGAAAGTTGGTGCCAGATCTGGGCTTGAACTCAGGGCCTAGATGCTGTCCTTGAGCTTTTTTTTTGTTCAAGGCTAGCTTGAACTACTCCTTGAGTCACAGTTCTGCTTCTGGCATTTTTGGTAGTTAATTGGAGATAAAAATCTCGTAGACTTTCTTTCTTGACTTTGAACCACAGTCCTCAGATCTCAGCCTCCAGAGTAGCTTGGATTACAGGTTTGAGCCACCAGTGCCTGGCTCATTCCTGGTATTTTGGTCATTACCTAGGTTGATGGCAGTTAAATAATCTGCTCCAGTCAGGCACTGGTGGCTCACATGTATATCCTTGTGGCTCAGGAGATTGAGATCTAAAAGTGGTGGTTCAAAGCCAGCCCAGGCAGACAAATCTGAGACTTTTAGTCTTCAGTTAACAAGAAAAAAAAAAAGAAAAAAAATCGGAAGTGGAGGCGTGATTTAGTGATTAAGCACCAGCTGGAAGCCAAGAAGAGCTATAGAGAACAAGCCCTAGTACTGGTTTATGAGTGAATGGATGAATGATTGAATCTCTACCCCATACTTGCCTACAGCCCCTGGGGGGATAGGGGTAAGAAGTTGGGAGAATGTGGAACTCAGTCACAGAGTAAAGCAGAAGCAGAATTTGCACAGTAGCCATGTTCTGTCTGATTCTGAGGTTCCTGTCTTTTCTTTCTCTCACTGGTTAAAACTGAATAGCTGCTGTTGACTGCAAAATTAAGAGATCACATCAATATGGCATAGGAGAGGGGTGTTCACAGTATTTTCCTAAATGGTAAGTTCTGTCACCCCTTTGTACAATCTTAGAACCAGACATTTGTCATGATCTTGCTTGTTCCAGAATGAGCCATATACTCTTGGCCTTTGTGCCTCATCTGTACTTTTATGTGGCCTACTTTCAGATATTATTGTTACACTTCAGTGGTCCTTTTGAAGACATTTTTAGAGGTCTCTGCTTATACTTTTGTTTGACCCTACATCCTACAGAACTGTACTTCCCCTCCATTTGGACTTTGGGTGCAGCCTCCTGACTGCTTCTGGCCCTAAAGTTCTGAGTAGCAGTGATTTGTAAGCCTCTGGGAGGAAGATGCAGCTCCTCTTCTGGCACGGAGTAGGCATGGTGGTCCCAGTGTGACTGTGATGTGCCAGCTCCCCCCTGGTGGGGTCCCCACACTGCATGAATTGCTCTATCACTTCGTTCTCTACCACCCGCCATTTGTTCTTCCATTTTAATCACGCCGGTTTATGGATGGTGCTGCCTGTTGACATGTCTGTTTTCTCAGGCTCCTGAGCCCAGCCCTTGGCAGCCTGCCTTACCTACAGAGGTATTTAGGAAACACTGAGAAGTTAAGGGCCTTCTCCATTAAGATGAGTAGGACCAGGGATGGTGTGATGCTTATAGAAGAACTTATTTGTGTTTCATTTTGAAGCTGTATGAATATTCTGTTAGCTTCCCATTGTTATAAAACAAAACAAAACAACCTGAGGGTTGGGAAGGTGGCTCAGTGGTAGAATGCTTGCCTTGCATGCATGAGGCCCTGGGTTTGATTCCTCAGCACCACATAAGGAGAAAAAGCCAGAAGTGGTGCTGTGGCTCAAGTGGTAGAGCACTAGCCTTGAGCTGAAGAGCTGAGTGAGGGACAGCGCCCAGGCCTAGAGTTCAGGCCCCATGACCACCGCCACCGCCACCAACAAAACCTGAGAGAAATAAAAGAGGAAAGTTTATTTTGGCTCTGGGTCCCCATGGTTGACTTGCTCATTGTTTCTGGGCGTGTGGTGGCACAGTACATCGTGGCAGGGGCACTCGGTGAAAGCCGCTCACCTCATGAAGGCAGGGAAGCAAGAGATCCAAAGGAGCCCGGGCCATAATAGCCCCTGTCAGGGCACACCCACAGCCATCTAACTTTCTTTCTTTCCTCTAGGGTTCATCTCCAAATACCTCCCGCTAGCACCACAAGTTGGCAACCGAGACTTCAGCCTAGGGGCTCTTACAGGCATTTCAATCCAACCTCTACCACCTGCCTATTCCTTTTTCTTTTTTTCTTTGTTTTTTTTTTTTTTTTGTTGTTGTTGTTAGTCATGGGGCTTGAACTCTGGGCCTGGGCGCTGTTCCTCAGCTCTTCAGCTCAAGACAAACACTCTACCACTTGAGCCACAGCGCCACTTCCTGTTTTCTGGTGGTTAATTGGAGATAAGAATCTCATGGACAGGGGCTGGGAAGGTGGCTCAGTGGTAGAGCGCTTGCCTTGCAAGCCTGAGACCCTGGGTTCGATTCCTCAGCACCACATAAGCAAAAGAAAAAAAAAGCCAGAAGTGGCGCTGTGGCTCAAGTGGTAGAGCACTAGCCTTG